GGCCATTGAAGTCACCCATACAAATGTTTTTTTCGTAGCTGGCTGCTTGCAGATCAGACAAGTCGCATGTTGTCTGTGGGGGGCTGTAAACATTGCAAAGTGTGTACTTCCTACCAGTGTGCCATATGGTGGCCTTCTGGATATCTGTCGGTTGGGCAGATGATAAGTGTATGACATCTCCCTGAACATCGTTTCGCAGGTAAGTGACTACACCGCGGCACCCTGTGCATGTGCAGGCATAACTGGTGTATCCTGTGAGGTTCAGTTCCGTACCTTTGTGTAGGGTTTCTTGAAGGAGGGCAACATGAATCTGCCTGTCCTTCAGTACTTTGAGGAGTTCTGTTTTCTTGTTCCTCAAACCACAGATGTTGAGTTGCAAGAGGTACAATAGGCTATAACTTATGTCTTAATATACCAGCAGACTACCAGAAGAAAAAAAGTTCATTCAAAAAGAAATAATGATAATTTTCTTGTTTATGACGGCCCAGTTGACATCAAAATTGATGGAAAGCCAGAACATGCATCCAGATTATGATTTTTTAAATGTTTACATGGCTGTTACACAACGTAAAGATGACAAAGCAGTGTGCTTTATCAGCGGATGAAATCTCCTAAATTGACCTGTGCATTATTTGCTTGGGAATACAGGACAGATATATATATAACAAACATAATTTTCTAAGCAAATGATCCATTTTGAAATGGGCTGCGAGTTTTGAAAAATTTTGGTCCGTAGAATAAGAATTTTAATTTTAAGTCCTGAGAAACATACAAAATATATAGGCATCCTGTAAAAACAACTCACTCCTGAAAAAGTTCAGGTTGTCTGTTATTCATTGAACTATGACCCTGACCAATACCTCATCATCCTATCAAAGTTCCGGAGAAGCTTAGCTAGAGCTTTTTGTCGGGGAAGAAGTATGACAGAACCAGCACTTCCAGCGAGATGGGGCTGCTACTTGCGCGGCATGCAACGCCAAAACTCTCCTGCACTGGATTAGCGACCATTTTGGTTCATTACAGTCAGTTTCACTGAGTACAACCGTGCCTCAAACGACCCAGACCTGAGTCCACATGGACTTTGACCTTTGGGGGGTCTTGGAAGGGCAAAGTGTAAGGGAAAAACCTTCTAAAGTATGCAAAACTGGAAAGAAACAATCAAGTAGGGTACAAGTGAGATTACCCCTTGAATCAGTGTCACCGAGTTATTGTCAATTTCTCTCAGTGTTTGAGAATGTGCCTTACTCAAAATAAGAGGCATCTGAAACACATCTTGTAACTGTTTATGGGCGTCATATTTTATTATAACATAATAAATCCGCCTTGATTGATTTTCCACATTTCTGCAAACTTTAGTATTTGTGCCCTTCTTCGTGTTAAGGTAACTCCCAGTACCAAGTGCCATACTGTGTGGAACTTGATGTCAAGAATGAGTTAAGAGATTACAAATGTAAACTAAGCTTGTCCCAAATTTGGCTGTTAATGAGAAAATATTAAAATCATATTTTTGTATTTTGCAGCTTTTACAACTGGGAAACAGCCACCTCAACCTCGAACCCAACTCCCAACTATCAAGTGATAGCAGAAAATGCATCTGGCTTACTCTTCAAGAACAAACGAGACAGGAAAATTATCAATGTCGACCCAAAGGTAGGAAATAGAAATTTAGCCTGCATTGTTCAAACTTTTGCATGATCTTTATTATTCATTTATTTTATTAGTGCTTTTATTTTCTCTTCCTCCTTTCTTTCAATGATAAGGGGACAGTGCAATCTTTAGCTTCTTTATGTTAATTCAATCAATTTCCTTGCAGTTTTTCCCCCCCAAAACTTCAGCTGCTCAAAGAATGATAACCCCTTACTGACTCAAAAAGTTGCTGGCAAAAAAAGCAATAATTATATTGCCCTTTGGCATGCAGGGAAAAGCTGAGGTGCCTGTGTTCATGAGACAATACAAATTGTCCCATTTACTCAGTCAGCAGCTCAATACTCTTTGAGCTCAGTTGGTAATATACTGGGCCAGGTGGGAGATTTTGGTTTGAATCCTTAGTAGTGAGGTCCTACCCTATTTAGTTTTCATGGCTGTGTACAGATATGGCTCAGTCCTATTAGAGAATTATATAAATTACAGCAGAGGTTTTACCTCTTTTATTATAACCTCAGACCGTTGAAAAAGATGTAAACTCTATGGACCCAAGCAGCAATGTAAACTCTATCCCAAGCAACAAAGACTATGGCCAAATTAGCTTATGGAGTGCCCTTGGTAACAGTGATCCTATGGTCAGTTGTCAGACTTTCTATTTTAAGGTCAAGGCTTCGATATCTTGCAGTAGGAAAACTGGTGATCCAATAAGGCACCAAGGTGAGGTCCAGTAAGGGCTACATTCCTAATTCTCTTAGGAACTGGTCATCTAAGCTTTACTGCTAAAAAAACTGTATTACCCTCACACCATATACATCTGTAAGATACTCTCAAATGAGCGTCAGGAATGATTAATTTTAGATGCTAATAATTTTATAGCATCAAAGAGACTGAGGAAGGTCCTATATTTTATTAAGAATCCAATCCCTACATCATTAATGCTTCACTTGTTACCAGCCTTAAATGACCTTCATAATGTTAATGTGCTTTTTTTTTTTAGCTTCAGTAAACAAAGTACACAGATTCTTACATTGTATTGTTCTTTGCTATTTCTCACAGGCTCCCAATCCAGGTGACAACTCAGAGCGGCATGTGATCAACACAAATAAGTACATTCAAGTTGTCATTTATGACCACATCAACCGCAGAAAAACATAGAACATTTTCAGATTTGACTTACATTGTTGTACAGAGGCTAATTATCCTCCAACTTAACAGAGGCAGAAAAGGCAGAGAAGATAGTTCATAAAGTATTTCAATCTTTGGGCATGTGCCATTGTTTTCTGAGTTTAACTAAAAGCAGAAGTCTCATGATGGAATCATATTTTCCGAGTTGCATAGGCTATAACTCAGATTGCATAGTTTCATGATTGGGCATGTTGACTACCCGTGATGTCCAACTAGACAAAAGCACCATCAGAGATGTCAGTTTTATATATGAACAAAGGCAGACCGAACTCATCAACACTTCATTTTTTTAAATTACCACCATTATCAGATTAGTCGTGCTTGTTTTTAGTGGACTTCACTATAAGGCCTATGTACATCCAAAGGGAAGGGGGGAGGCAGAGAGAGAGAGAGAGAGAGAGAGAGAGAGAGAGAGAGAGAGAGAGAGAGAGAGAGACAAAGAAGGCAGAAGGGAGGGAGGATAGGAGAAGTAGATGGGTGGTGGATTAAAATGTGTTACAACGCAATGGAATCAGGCGCTCGTCAATTTTTATGCATATTATTACCCATCTATCTTCGACAGAAGTGGAGATATTTTAGACTGAAGGAGGTGGAGGTACCAGGTGTCAGAGGAAAATTAGCAAGAAAATGGTCGCCAAAGTTTGGTGACTTCCAAAGCTAGAGAATCTATGGAAACTGTAAATTTATTACATTTCATTTTTAGCGCCTTTAATCAATGTTTTTCAGTAAAATTCCACACAGGATTTTTGTTAAAAATGAACATAAAAAGTATTGAGGAAAAAAACCCAAATATATGATTTAAAAAATGCCAAAGCGGGAAGAAAAATGCTGTTTTCTTCTAATTCATTATTTTGACGGGGGCCTGGTTTCACCGCAATGCCTCACAAATATTCAAACAGGAAATGAACAGATAGCCAAAAAAGGAAGAGGAAAAGGCTGCGAGTTTCATGAAGCTTGATGTAAACACAATGTGTGATACCTTGTAAATGTGCACTTTGTCTCTTCCATATGTAATGTTCAATATTTGCTGACTTTTCAAGTGATATGCATGCATGTTTATGTACATGAGTGATGTTTATGAAACAATGAATAAAGGGAAATATACAAAGCATATGGTTTATTCTTTTTATTATTAAGATTCCAGGAATATAAATAACAACCCTCAACAAAGCACAAAGGATACATTGGATATTAATAAGAAATCTCCCACAGATCGCGACCTCAGTGCTTTCTTGTCTTATCTCCATTTTTGTTTGTTTGTTTTTGTAAGTGTTTTACGGCGCTCACAACTGCATAAGGTCATATGAGCACACGGGACACATTAAACTTTTTCAGTTGGTAGGAAATTTTGAATTTTGCCCTGGTGGCGGCCGAAGCCTACTCTTATCGATTTTAGACCACCAAAGGGATTTTTAACGTGCGCAACTTGCACACGGGCCCTCCGAGATTTTTCGCCCTTGTCCGAGAAGGCTAGGTGTAGATCTTTCCTACCAGAAGATCAGGGGTGTGGCTGAAAGACAGCAGTAAGAAGAAGTCAAGGAGTAGCAGTAGAAAGGCTGCAGAAAGAATCAGGAGCCCAGAGGAGGGGGGCAAAGGAGATGAAGGAGTGGGGGCAGAAAGAGGAGACGAAAGCAGACGACAGAGCATTGCTAGAGAGCAGGAAAGGAGGCGAAAGGAGACAAATTTAGAGAAGAACATTTTTCGGTCACTACCCGGATTCGAACCTGGGACCTTTGAATGAGAGGCCAACACCTTAACCTCTAGGCCACGAGAGCCCCCTCTCCATTTTTAATAAGAGTGAAAACAGTTCATAACGAAGAGTGAGCTTAAGAAGAAGTCACATTTTCACAGTTTAAAAAAATGGAGATGCAATAAGAAAGCATAGAGGTCGCGAATTATTGCAAATGTGTCAACCTACAATCTTCAAATTACAAATACAATGAAAAATCATGTAAAGTCACAGAGAGTCATGTGAGTGCTATTATCCACAGAGTGTTACATTTCCTTGAGCTGTTTGTTAACAAAATGGTTGAGTATTTTACACTGGACAAAAATATCAGATCTTAACCTCTTAAAGAATAACATAATTATAAAGGTATCAGATTTTTGCAAAATTAATTATTCGATGCAAGCACCTCTTATTTACCTGTTCACATATAGGAGACAACACAAAATGTCACAGCAACGATGATAGCTCACAGCAACTTCTTTCTGCAGAACAAATTAGACTTCACTACAACCATAACCATGATACTTAAAATTGTTCTCATATAGGTCTTTTACGCCTCCCTGAACACATTTAATTCAGATCACTTAGGAGGTGAGCTTCTACCCAGCCTGTTTGTGTCAAGGCCAACCTGGACAAAGAGGGAAAAAAACGTCCCAGCAGAAAGGCTGAGGTACTCAATTACAATCATTACCTCACTTTAAACAAACTCAGGTATTCTGCATGAAATGGCAAAGGGCTCTACCACAATACTGTAACACTTTACCTCTAGGGTCATAATGAGGTCAGGGAGAATATTTGATGAGACATCCAAAAGTATTTGAGGGTGGGTTTAAGGGGGAACATCATGAAAACTGGTCTTCCTGATGTAGAGACAATAACAGATTAAGACTTCACACACTTGCTGTTGTTTGGAAAAAAGTATGGAAAGGTGCATCTGTATAACGTAATTATACAGTCAAACCTGCTATTACGACTACCTGCCCAAGAACATCTGTACAAAAGACCACTTCCCACTTATCCCCTTGCTTTTTTTCTGTATTACAATGACACAGTCCACTATCTATCACTTTTTTTTTTTCCTTGACAGTACGTGGTTATCTTGGTCAGGTTCGACTGTATACATATGTCCATGAGTACCACAACCCAGAACCAAACATTTCAGGCAGGGTTAAAAGAGCTATTAGCATAACAGTAAGACTTTAATATGGACGGTAATAGTCATATACCAGGGGTGTCCGAAATAAGGTTAAGTTTTCCTTGTGTCTGAAAAGATCAAAGGAAACTCTCTTGCCCGTTTTAATACAGTGCAAGTTCACAAAGATGGTTTGGCGACCATAATCATCCACACACTTTAAACAAAAGACATGCATGGAGTCTCATGACCCGGTTCATACACGACATAACAAATTTTCAGTAAAAGCTCGCATAGGTTCCTTTGAAACTTTCATCTTTCTTTGTGGTCTTTTGGCCAATTTGACGTCCTTTCTAGTATAGGGATATGTATTCAAAAAAGACATAAAAAGGCAGCTAACATCATGAGTAAAAAAACAACAACCCTGTACATAAAATGGGTGTAGGTTTTAGCAAAATAATATTTCAAATTTAATTTAATACAAAAATGTCATTATTCAGAACATTATAAAGTGGTCACTAGTAAAAGTCAACAAAACTGATAATACTAATATTAATGGAAAAGTACTGGTAATCAAACATATGAACTTGGGGCAAAGATTTAAAAAAAACTGAAAATTAATCAGTCAAGCAAATAATTTTTGCATTTTTATTTTAAAAATCTTTCTATCTTGTTCATAGCATAATGTATTGTGAAGTTTCTCAGCGGCTAGCAGATGTCATCAAGTCATATGTGGCGATATCGAGACAGTCCAATTTCATACCACACTGATTGTCTGGGGAGAAACTCATTACACTTACTTTACACAAAAGAAAAAGAATTTCTTTGAATTTTTGTAACAATTGCTTTGGAGCACACTGCAGTAAACTTTCTACTTAAGAAATCAAATTTATTGCCAGTAAAACTACAGTGTGGCCCATAACACAAAACTAACGCATCAGCTTTGCCAACCACATACATTTTCGTCACTAGTAGACAAAATAATAATAATTTGCACATTTGAAATATGAATAAAATTGTTCAATTGTCATGGCTCTTTTTCAGAAACAGAAAATACAGTGGCATGTATTCACAACAATGCTTAGAAGTCAATCAGCTTTTCTGCCCCGAAACAGAAATATTTAAATCCAATCCAAATTACATCTAGAATGAATGATAAAGTCAATTCAAACATACCACGATACACAGGCACAAGAAATGATTTCGTTGTCTTATCAATCTTATCATATTTATTCCAAAAGGCTCATTGTTGTAGCCAAAAAAGGTTACAATACACCTGCATTCTCTGCTTCAAATGAAGTGACACAGTGTGCAAGTGACGTCATCATAGATCGACTAATAACAAATGTTTCACCCCTCAACCCAGCCTGAGTGAACATAGAATTCTGCTAAAAAACTGAGACAAAATTTGATGACCCAGACTCATCCACTGGAAACCTCACATCTTTACAGACACCCAAAAGTACTTCACTGTCAGGGGAAACACAAACACTGTAGAATTACATTCCTAATTGGTTGCTCTTTCATATTCATGTCCAAACTAAGGCATGCTTTTGTAATCACAGTAACTAAGCTTAAGAAATTTCAAAATTGCCGCACATGAAGCGTGTGTCAAGATGGAAAAAGTATATAAGGTTTCAACCTTCACACAAAAAAGCATCCCCAAAAAGCTTCTTTTTTTTTCCCATCAAATCAAAATCGGTGACACCAAACAGAAGGGAACAAAAGTTGTAAAAAAGAAATTTTCCCTTCCTTGAAACACTGACATGTTTCAAATACCTAAACGCACACAACTTCCATTACAAATTTTGAACATATGGCTGTCATTTCCCATCCTTTTTATATAATTCTGTTAATCTATACAAAATAAAAATCATAATATTCTTCCAGCACCTGAAGAATGAGAGTATTTAGAATATAATTATAAAAATAAGATTTCACTGCAGGCAAACAACAAAAGAAAAAAAAAAGACTTTTTGCCAAAACAGCTTCAGATCTTTAGGGAAGAGAATACATGTTTGTTACATAAGGCTACTAACATTAATTTAGTCCCAGCAAGTGCTCACTCAAGCAGTTTTTAAATACTCAAGTGCTCTGGTTATTACTTGAGGATTTGCTTTTTTCAGCCAGTAAAAGCTTTCTTTGTCTCCTTTCTATCCAACCATCATAGAAATATTTATATTTTTGTATGCTGTTTTTCCCATTGCTATTATATTTGTTTTGTATTATTGTTATTATTAATCATATTAGGAGCAGCATAATTAACAGTTCAAATCAAACAAAGATCGAAGGATTCAAAATTAGTATAAATATACATATAACAGAGGAAAGAAAATGTGGTAAAAATTAGTTTCATTAACAAACAATACATTGAGCCTGTGCTCAGGATGTGAGTACTCAAGTACTCACTTGAATATTTTATGATTACTCTGACTCGAGTCCAAAAAGCTGGGTCCACATACCCCTACTTGGCAGGATGCTCCTAAAAAACAAGCAAAAAAACCCCAACAAATCTCAGACGTTTTTAACTTTGAAAGCAAAATTTCAGAAAGTAATTTTTAACAAAGCAGTAATTTCTTTGAAGAAACCAATTACTGGAGCTACTACATTCAATATACAGCACAGAGATTCTCTGAGAGTTTCAGCACAAAAAGACATAAACAACAGGAAAAGATCAACTGGCAACAAAATTTTCTTTCATCATTAAATTTAGTGGACGTGGGTTGACTCTAACCCTTTAGTCTTGAAATCTCACAAGAAGAAAAAACATTTCAAGGCATGAAATCAATCTGTATTACACATTTAACAAAACCTTATTCAGATAAAAAAAACGAGGTAAATTGTAAATTAAAAACATACCAAAAAAATAAATAAATAAATGGAAGATTTTCGTCAAAGAGAAAACCTTGCGTACAAAAAAGAGTCAAGTTCTAAAGTGTATGAGATCACAAGGGCTGATTCACTTCACAGGGTTCCCACTCATTAAAGGAAAAAAAAAATTCTAGTTTTCTCCTGGATTTAGTAACTATTTTCAAGGTGATTTCTTAAATTTAAGATGACAGAGCAATGAAAAGTAAATGAAACATAGGCACAAAAAGAGACTTTTAGGCCATCTTAGAAGAGGAAAATCTTAAAAAGAAAAAAAGAAGTGGCGGTGGGTATGTTATTGGCAGTCAGACTGACTTTTATCCTTATAAAACAAAAACAAAATAAACCGATGGGATGCACCACACGCCTTTGATCCTGATTGTGTATCTCTATACAACATGCCATTGGCCTTGGCTGATTATCTTTTATTTTAAGTTTCAAACTTCCGATTCTTTTTTCCCCAAATTCTCTGATTCAACTAGGTCATCTCTCAAATACCAAAAATACAGGAATTTTTAACATCTTGTCCAACCAACAAATGTTTGCCATACTCCTGGCTTTGGCGCAGCTATTGTTTTTCTAACTTGTCTAAGAGCAAAGTGACACTGAGCGACTACAAAGGCTCTGTGCACAGAGGACATTTTAAGTTCGACAGCTGCAGGTTACGTAGTGATATACACTGCCCGAGTCCAATTGGTTTTTTTCCTTATATTATGCCAGGAACGTGGGGATGGGTTGGGGTAGCTGAATGGCAAACATTTTCTTTTCAAATCAGGATAAGGGTTACAATATTTGAGTAAAAGTTGTTTTAAAAATCATAATGAATCTGCCGAATTTGTTATGATGAATTTCTTGGTTTTCCCCCTATTTATTTTTGGTTTCTTCTATGTTCATAGTGTTTCCTGGACGGGGAAAGTTGAAAATGAAATTCCTGGCTTTTTCCCATTTTCCCTGTTGAAGGGGAACCCTGAGTAGACATCGACCCAATTGAGTAAAGCTTCTATCCACTGAATAATATCACTACAATGATAGGGACTTTAGTTTACCCACACAATATATTTAAAATCATTTTATAAAGTGAAAGAAGGACTACTTGGTAATGCATTGAGTATATTTTCTCACTTCACCAGCTGAAAAATTGGATGCCAACCATGCTGAGCCAATTTACAGAGACTGGCAGAGCTGAATCCAGTAAACAATTCCACCGTTAGACCTCACTTTGTGGACCGACATTCTAAAATGAACGCCATTATGCAGAAATATCTTTTACATATCTCGAAAGAGTGCCATCAGAAGGAATTCACCCAAAAAGAAAAAATAAACTTCTTTAAAAAGGCTGTTTTTCTTAACAGAATGGCACATGATGAAGCAAAAGTATAAAATAGCTTTACCGATTCAAGTTCATCACAGATTAGAAACTGTTCAAAGAAAGGCATGACATTGCATAGTCTTCACTGGTTCAAATAACTGCCACCAACAAAAAAGAGAGCATGTTCTTATGGTGAATATAATACTTTGAACCACAAAAATAAATCAATCAACATTACACAGTTCACACCAATAGTCAGTATGCGAAGACAAAGGGCAGTCACTCCTATGAAATAAGAACCAAAGACGACAACTTGCCTACATAACAGGATTTAGAACAAACGCATAATAACAATCAATATACTCTCATGAGACCACTAAACACAACACCATATTAAGTGTACTTTAATGACAAAACCCAAATACAGTCTGGCACAGATAGCTGAAATACGTTTTAGATTGACTTATGTGTTTGACACATTCATAATTTAGGTGAACCGATAAATCGCAAAACTTAAGAAAATCAAAGGGAGTAAGCATGATGGTACAATTGTCAGAAAATAACCCACTGTAATACATTTACTGTTGCAGATTTGCCACACACATCTTTTTGAGTGATGCTACATCTCCCTTGGAACCTATCCAAATTTCTGTTGCATATGAAGTTCCTTTGCAATTTCGTATGCTTTTAAAATCAGGATGGGATCAAAGACAGAAATATGACATTGAAACAATACCAACTCACATGTTCTCAAATTTGACAAAGTGCACTTGCTTTCTCGGGGGTATTTGACATGTAATTCTGATGTTTTAGATTTTTATCTCGATTTTTTTTAAACATGGAGAACATTGATTTGAAGATACCTAATGTCTTATAAATTTCTGTCTTAATGCAGGACAGGGGAGCCTGCTGGGCTCATGTAATCAGATACTCTTACTGATGATGGGTGGGTTGTTTTCCATCAGGCACACAGGGTGATTGGAACTTGAATAGAATCAATCTGAGAGGGTTTTTCAAGATGGGATGTTCGACAAATATGTACTGGTGTTTGAGAAAACGGTGTTGACATTTTAAAAAAACATGGTGGTTGAGTCGGGAAATGGCATATTACATGAGCTATCAGTGATTTCAAGTTTTGAGTGTTCATGTTATCTGTGCTCGACTGTACTATCTTATATTCAATGCAGTAATTGCTATAATATTATACATACATTTCAAAACTGGAAAATTAAAGGATATTCATACAATAAATGGATAAGAATTTCTAAGACCTAAAAGCATGTACGGTCAAAATACCGTCATATTACTATAAAAATACTGATTTATGCATCTAGTTTAAACATTATTATGATTAACAATGTGCCAGAATCTGGACAATAAAGATTTATCTCCTCTTATCATACCTCATAACTCATTGCAAAAGACCATGAGTGCCAGCACACAAATATGTAAAAATCAAAATCATTCAACATTTTCTTGAATCTTGATCAAAATCAATATCTCTTTGAGGATTTCCAATAAAAAATTTTTTAATGGATTCATAAAAAAACAAAGAAATAACACATGTTACAATTTTACAAGTGATATCAAAAAGAGCTTTTTCCATGAAAACTGACAGTACCCAGTACACTTTGCAAACACACAAATAAAACCATATTTTGTTCACAATACATGTAGAAATACAATAGGGTCCTGAAGCAAACTAAATACTGTATTTGGAGGCAAAAAAAAGAAAGCTAAATTCACCAATGCTGTTGCCCCCGAAGGCCTGAATGAAGACAGCATGATTTTATCCTCTAGACATACTCATGGTCAAGCAGTCGCCTCTTGTCCTCTCTCGTAGATTGTCTCCCACCACTTATAAAAGGCAACTAAAAAAGAGGGAAAAAAATTATATATTATTTTTGTACAACCCACAATCCCATGCTAATACATATATATATGTGAGGCAGCGTGGTGGAATCAGGCTCTCGTCAAAATAATCAAAGTGACGAAACTTGCATTTTTCCGCAGGTTTGTAAATTTTCTTCAAATTTTTGTTTTATTGGCTTAACACCTTTCATGCCCATTAAAGAATTAATTTCTGTGTGGATTTTTCTGAAAAACGTTGATAAAGGCACAAAAAATGTAAATTTTCAGTTATCACAGACTCTTAAGCTAAGGAAATAACTAATCTTTGGCGGCCATTTTCTCATTAATTTTACCTCTGAAAACAAGTGACCCCCACCTCCTTTTGCAAATATCTTTTCTTGTATTCAAGGTTAAGGGATATTTTTTTCCACCAAATAAAGACAAGTGAACAAGCTTTAAGCTGATACCAATAACTTTACATGCCCAAAAATTGACGAGAGCCTGATTCCACCACGCTGCCTCACATATACATATATCACTTGCACTTTTTACAAAAAATACAAAAGTCACACTTTTCAGATACTCAAAAACAATTTCATTCACACATGCAAAACAGATGATAGGTCATTTTTCTTAGTTTCATTAACCCTGTCAGACCGTATTCCGGTACACCGGGAATACTCAAAACATCAACTATGCCGGATTACCGTTTGACCGGTAATTGGGAGGCCGCATCATAAAATCACGTCATATTTAAAAATAGCCAGCGAATCAGCTCTAAACTCAGCATTTAGAGCGAGAATTGATCATTGCAAAAGGTAGACTCCATGATGTTGGACTGTAGTCTTGTTTGTCTTCTAAATTTTGAATTTTTATCGTCATGAAGAGACGTGCTGATGAACCAAGCACTTCGACAGGAAAGACGGCTAGGTCTCAACTGTTTACCAAATAAGAAATGCTTGAAGACCTATCCGATTATGAAGGAGACCTTGATCATGACTTCGAGAGCAGTGGTTGTAGTAGATATCTAGTGATGAATCCATGGACTTGGACGATAGTAGTGATGATGAACCACATGCGTTTCTGCCCACTTTTGATCAGGACGCCAGGTATAGGGGGAAGTTAGGTTCAGGGGGTTAGGTCTGACAGGGTTAAACAAGAACTTACCGGTCCATATAGACAGGAAAATGAAAATTTGAATAAAGTGTAAAGCTGATTTTGAAAGAGGAAGCTTTTCAAATGTTGTTATCAGTCCAGGAAAAAGTTGGCTTTCACCACTGAACCTAGTTCCACTTACAGACATCCAGTTTGAGATTCAATGCAGAGCAGCACATCAACACAATATAAGATATTTAGTGCAGGGAAAAAATGCCTTATTGGAATCCTGTGCTTGAAGAGCTGTGGCTACAGAAGAGAAGGTCAACAAGAGCATGGCATAGGGCGAGGAAGTCACACAAGGTATCAGACGAGGAGAAGATTACTCTCAGAGAGCGGATGAAAAGAGAAGGGCGGCTTTTCAGGGAAAGTGCAAATGAGGCCAAACAGGAACTGTGGGAGCAGTATGTGACCGAGGTGTCATCAGGGAAGGCACTACACAGGTTCTGGAAATTGCACAGAAAAATGAAGGGATTACAGACTGACTTGGCTCTCTGTCTGTTAAAGATGAGAACGATAGGCTACTGGAGAAAGATGAAGCAAAAGGCTGAGCTTTCCTTGAGAGATACATCAGGCAGACTCATCAAGGCAACATGGAGGAGCTTGCTAACATCGGGGCAATTATGAAAACTGCTGTGCCAGAGGTGCTATATGGAGAGAGTGTCACAATACAGGAAGTGAAACGGGTCATAAGCGAAACAAAGGATAGTGCAGCAGGGTATGATGGGATGAGATACAGCTATTTTAACGACGCAGATGAACATCTGCAGGGCATGGTGGAGGACTTCAACGAGTCTGGCCAAAGGCAAGATCCAAGAGAAGTGGCTACACAGCTACCTCATGCCTCTTCCTAAACCAGGCAGGGACCACCCCAACATCAAGGGATACAGAATCATCATCATGTAGAACATTTATGGAAAGATCCTGGAAAAGAATATGGCCAAAAGGCTGGTAAATTACCTAGAGAGGAAAACGCTCCTTCCAGACGAGGTTTTGTGGAGTACATTGGGAACAAACAGGTTCATAGCATGTCAGGGGCCATAGAAAGAATAACTTCAAGCATGAAAATGGATATTGAGGCCCTAACAAGAGCACCTGGCTGGCTTCAAAATACCGGACCAAGAACTACCCATCTCATTATCGTCACAGACCCCCAGAGCATCCTGCGAAAGGGTTGCTTCAGAGTGAATGGATCAACCCAATATAACACTCATCACTTAGAGCCATCACGTGGATATTCTGTCCTGGAAACTCTGGATTGAAGGGCAATGAGGAGGCTGATAGGCTGGCGGGCAGTGCCGTGGTTGATGGTAAAGTGAAATTTGACAAAGGAAAAGTGCTGAAGACCCTGGAGGAAAAGTTGCGGGATGAGGAAGACAGGGAAACAGCAGAACACAACGCAATCATCAAAATGTGGGAAATGTGGATAGAGATGAAAGGAGGAAGAAAGGAACGATTATCTGGAAAGGAAAGACGTCACCATAATCAGATATCCACTGGAATAATCAATGTCGATACCTTGAGGGCTTTAATGCTGAGAGGAACTGAACACTTATGGACCAGTCCCGTGTGTAATGACGTTGTTGCCCAGGACAGGTAATACAGGTAATTACCACTCCAGTTTAGGAGATACAGTGGTATGCAATCCATGTCAAATTCCGGTAGAATGCCTAGAAAATCCTGCATGTTTTTAATTTCAAGCAATGAGAGGGATTTAAGTAACCGAGGAAGTAATGAGGAAAACTCAGACACAAGAATGCCACAAACACAACATGGGGATCTAAAAGAATGGTCAAATTTTCCAATGCTCGTGCCCCTGAAGGCCTGAGTGAAGACAATCAACGATTCAGTTTCCCTGGACTACGTACCTTGACCCCTTTGAAGCGCGACTGGTACGTGGAGATGCCCACCACCATGAGCAGCAGAGCCACCACCATCCAGGTGTAGAAGAGCACCATGCTGGACGGGCCTGTGGGCGGCTTGTTCCGGTTGGCCAGGTCCTCATCCACCACGTCTTCCAGCATTCTGTGGTCAGAGTCTGCCCCGTCCTCAAAGTCATCAGTGACATCATCGCCCTCCTCATCTTCTTCCTCATCTTCTAGGAGTATTATAGAAAAAAAAATGTAATCTCAAAATGAGAATTCACTTGTTACTTACTTGGTTGAAGAATAGGCATCATTGCTGGTGGCACAATGCCATAGCTGCCCCTCCTTCCTCTCCAGGATCAATGAAAGGGTCTGCCTGCTGACCGTGCCAGTTATCAGCTTGTTAAAATGGTGGTTTTCCATGCTAATATTGACAGCTCAGCACATGCTATTACTTTACTTTACTTTATCCTTCCTCTTGTACCATTTATGGCATCGAGGGTAGAAAGAGTTTTGGGTCTCTGAGGAGCTGCATTCAGTTGTTAATTAAGACTATACTGACTTCGACATTCCAACAAAGTTCTTTTGGTAAAAGAAAAGTATAGCCCCCTATTTCAAATCTCCTTGAGCCAGAGTACAACATTTCTGATAAAAACAATGTCCTCCAGGAACAGAAAACACTGCATGAAGGCATGTGAGTTATACTTTACTTTTATCCCTCTTTTAAAAGGCTTAATGGTATCTACACTGAATTTCACCCACCCTGAATGAAAAAAACACTTCTTCCAATACCTAGTAAGGTAATGAAACAATTGAGACAACATTAGTACGAGTTCAATTCTTGGTTTCAGTGGTCCACATGCTCATCCAACATTTCGAATATTTTTGCATGTTTTAGAAAAACTATTTTTACTTTGCTTCTACACCAAACTACAACCCCCAAAATCTTATAAAGGACCACCTATAGATAAATCAAACAAAACTTTGCAGAAAAATTTGAAGTATTCCAGTTGTTAGTTCGCTGTCAATCACTATAATTACAATATATAAAATGTATAAGTAACAGTAAGGTTATTTTTTACGTCTAAATATAATAATTGCATCTTAATAATCATCAAAAATAAAGTATCACAATTTTTTTTTAAAATGATGGTCTTATACTTTTTTCTCTCTGCATTTCTAGGATATAAGTCCAGTAAATTCAGCTTCTATTTGAGAAAAGAGTATACATGTGACAGCACCCAAAAGTGGTTGTGTGCCTATGTTCAAGTGAAGCAACAGCTTTAAAAAAAAAAAAAAAAAGAAAAGAAAACCCTCTTTCCCGATTGGCGAATGGCAACTTTTTTTAAAAGGAGGCTGGACCATTAAGAGTAAAGCGGCCTGGAAGTAAGACATAAGTTTAGCTAATTGAGCGGACTTGACTCCTGTGATGCAGATTGTGGTAAAAATAACCAGTACTGGAACTGGCTAGCCAGCTAGATCAAGTACTTTTTGTCTTTTCATACATAATAATATTCCAAAACAGACATTACAAGAATTCTGTTTTCCCCAGAGGATTTTCTAAAACAACAAAAAGCTTGATTTCAGATTGATATAAACCAGAAAGACTATCACGAATACAACTGATACTTTGTTGATGCAATTACAATGTCAATTAATAAAAAGTAAACGTGACAAAAAGTGAACAAAGGGAGTAATCTTTAAATATAAAGAAAACAGAATGCACAGTAATATCTAAGGGCGATAACATAAAGAAAGCCGAAACTTAAGCGGCTGAAGATCGACTCGGACAGGCGCCAGTCGGTGTCTGCTTGACTCCACATAGAGGACGCCTATTGCCGATCCCTTTAAGCTCGCGTTGCATTGATCTGTTGTCTAGTCTGCCTACATCTACCGTATTTGGAATCTAGTTCTAGGTCTTGAGTGATTACAAATTTACAACAATGGACTTATCATCCGAGAGGGGGAGGGGGAGAGGAGGAGAGGGGGGGAGAGAGGGGGGAGAGAGGGAGAAAGAGAGAGAGGAAGAGAGAGGGGGAGAGGGAGGGAGGGAGGGAGAGGGTGAGAGGGAGGGAGAGAAAGGGAGGGAGAGAGAGAGAGAGGAGAGAGATTATCTTCCCGTGTCCGGTAGAATGTCATATAAAATTGCAATATTATGTCATAAATGTGTCAATAACAAAGCTCCCTCATATCTTAGTGGTCTCATCCTGATTTATGTTCCATCTAGATCACTAAGATCAGGCGATCAGTATCTTTTAAGAGTTCCTAGAAAAGGGGGTAAAAAATTAGCTGAAAGATCGTTCGCCCACCTTGCTCTGTCAGTTTGGAACTCTCTTCCCCAACCCTTGAGACATACAACATCTGAGTCTAAATTTTTAAAAATCTGTAAAGATACATTTAATGACATCTTTTTTTGTCTGTAGATTCAGGTTCAATACAATGTTATGTAAATGACTATGTATCCATTTATGTATTTTGTGAATTGCATTGTGTAGATTATTTTATGCTTATTTCGCGACGACGTGTAAGCGTGCGCGTTTGATAAGCAAGTAGATGCGTGTGTGTGTGTGTGTGTGTGTGTGTGTGTGTGTGTGTGTGTGTGTTTGGCGTACATGTGTGTGCACAAGTGTGCGTGTTATGTGTTCGTGAGTGTGTATGTGTGTGTTTGTGTATGTGTGTGTGTTTGTGTGTGTGTGTATGAGTGTGTGTATTTTTGTGTTTGTGTCGCATGCGTGAATATTGTTCGTACATGTATTTTTATGTAAAGCGCCCAGAGCTGTGTTTACACGGGAGTGGGCTCTATAGAAATGATCTTCATTATTATTATTATTATTATTATTATAAATCGACATCCATTTTGACAAGACACGACACAGCCAGATAAGCAGATCTCTAGACGCACAACGAAAAACTACACAGGTCTCGTCTCTTCAAAATCACACTCTATTGACACAGTAAAGCCGAGATACCTAGAGCTAGATTCTAGATGTAAGAAAAAAATTAAAATTAATTACACCACAACACAGCTGGTATTCATGAAGCATAATATTTTTGGGGGAAAAAACACTAATTTTCTTAAATATTGCTTAAAATGCAATTCTGCTCTGTGACCACCCTATTTTGACGATGCTGATTTAAAAAATGTAATTAGTTTTTGTCTACAGTGAAGCACCAGCTCTGAAATGACCATTTAAAATTGTCCCCAGTCCAGTCGGGTTACGTCACACAAACCGCTGAACCCGAGTTGGCGACGGCGAGACGGCATTGACAGTTCGCGACCTCGGTGCTTTCTTGTCGTACCTCCATTTTTAATAACAGTGAAAACAGTTCATAACAAAATGTGAGTTAAAGAAGAAGTCTCATTTTCACTGTAAAAAAATGGAAATACGACAAGAAAGCACTGCGGTGGTGAGTTGACAGCGAGACGCCCTTCCCAGTTTTTCGGCGTAATAAGAATGTAGTTTGGATTCCGATAAAGCCGACAACTCCGATCCGAGTTTAAAGCCGCCTGCAGTCAGCCAGATCTATGTGGGGCAAGTTGGAAATCATAAGGGAATTTTTATACCTATCGGCGCTTACTGAGTCAGTCTCCGAAATCGGCGTTCTCTATGTTTTCGCCCTAAAACAAGCAGTAAAGCCTATTTGTAATCTTATAATTAAAGGTGAAAACATTAAACGTGTTTTAAAAAAACCTGGGAAACACTATTACAAATGATAGCAGATATACCAAAGAAATAAAAATGAAATGAAGCAATAGTCAGAGATAGTTCCAATACAATGAGCCCAATTCTATAAAATATAAACATCTCAATGAAAACAAAAACAAAAGTTTCAAAAGACTATGTAAGTAGGTATCGCAGACGGCGCGTTTTCAAGGCAGACAGCTAGTGGCTGGAGCCAGATTTGGACAACTTCATCCAACTATTAGCTGGTTTTAATTTTTGTAAACACTAATAAAAATGATACCAGTTTTCTGTGTCTTTCCTTCGCCATGGTGAACGAGAAACTGATACTTATGATTGCATATTTAGTTTTTAATTGACTAAAGTTTTACACGGGAAAACTCGGCCGTCTCGCAATTTTGCGCACTTAGATTTGGGGGGTACTTGTTTTAAATTTCGATTTCTCAGTCGTGAATCATCGAATTTTCTTGCGGTTTGAAACATAAAAATCTGGAATTTCAGGAGAATTTCTGGGGAATGTGTTTATGTTTTTATTCCGAGCGGAAAGCATGAGTGGTACAATGTAAAGACGAAGAAAGCATTTTAAAATATTAAATTCGACACAAATCGGGCTATCCGTGCCAGGATCCTATTCCTAGACATCTCTACCATCTATTTTATATGTTTAGAAAAGCCAACTACGTTCCACGAAGTAGAAATATTACTTTTTCTGAAGTGGGGTAACAATCACTTTCGGGAGATCGTTATTCTGCCATTGCGGCTGTTCCATCTCCCATTGCCACCCCCTCTGACTTGACCCAACTAGCAGACGATTATATGATGGTTCAGTAAAAGAAACATTCGATAGATCTGTTTATGGCGTCAATTTATGTAAGTGTTATCATAATTTTCTTTTATGATATTTACGAATATCGTGTTTTGAAAAATAACACTAATCGGCCACCACTTGCCGTGTAAATAGATTGTTATTGTTTGGTGGGAATCATGCCGACCTACATTTCCACCACCTCATAGTGAGTTAATTGCGATCTATACAAATCTATTGCTTTGAGGTGGTATTTTTGCTGTCTTTTCAACTAAGAACACCTTATTTATTCTAAATGCATCGAAACCTAAGCATCTCTGGTCGACAAAGTGAAAGAATAAAGCCGTGAAGAGTTGGACTGGGAGTTCTATTTATAGTAACATGTCATCACACACTACTAAACACTCCGAAGGGGGTTACTGGGTGTTAGTGTTACCGATGGAAATGTTTGTAGATTTATTGTTTGGCTTTTTATTTGGTAACAAAAAAGGCTAGATCTACGTTCTTGATTGGTGGATATTCAATTATTGAATCAACCAGCCTTTTTGCATATTCTTAGACTTAGTTAGACTTAGACGTCACCTGATAATTGGAGAAATGCTCCCCCCCCCCCCCCCCATGGTAGAACAGTATGTTGATTTAATTCAAATTTTTAAACCCTGTGAGCAGAAATCTTAATTTTCTGAACCAATATTGATGACTTTTTTCACATTATTGTCCATTTCTGAAATATTTGGAAGGTTTTTACTTTCTATAAACTAATTCACTGTACAGAGCCTGAAAAGAGCTTTAATTTGATATATATTATGCAGCCTTGTAGCACAATTTGTTGATTTTATATGAATTTTTTTCCAGTCGGCAGACATTATAATTTTCACTCAAAAATGGAACGTTTTTGGGCATTAGGGCCCTATTATGGAGTGTTATAAGAGATTTTAGTAAACAATTTTCATTTAGCCTCGTAGAGCTTGCATTAAGCTTTAATTTGATGTATGATTTAGCCCTGTAGCTTAATTTGTTCACTTGTTATGATGCTTTTTGCCCGAGGACGTACCAGAATTCCCCTAATTTTTTTCCAAGAGGCGTTTTTTGCACCGAAGCCCACTTCAGAGGAGTCCAGAACAGTTACTTATGGTCAGAGAGGTCTGAAAAATATTCAGCCAAGTCTATGCATGCATTTGTAATGATTGTGTGCTTTTCACTAATGAGGAGGCAGTTTTGACAAATTTGGAAGAGGTTGAAATAGGGTTCTGAGCTCTTAATGACAAATTTTGGAATTTTTTTTCAATTTTTGAAGGCCTATATCTTGGAAACCAGTCATTCCAACTTGCTTTGATTTAGAGACATCAATATTTGTGTTGACAGCTCTGGGGAAAACAAAGTTTTCATTGATTTGATCATGCACTTTGTATTTTAGAACACCTCAAGCGTGGGTGAAAGTCGCAGTTGAAAAGGTTTCGTTCAAAAAGAAAACTTTGAAATACCATATCTCGATTGTTTATTGATGGATTTTTATAATTCTTTTTTAAATGTTCTTGTTTTATAGAGTAGATTTGAACCCCTAAGGTTTAAACATCAATATTGTTCAAAAAATTTTTCGCTTGTGGTACCTAATGTAAGGCCAACCCTTCTACATGTAACTATATATGACTGTGAATTTCTAGAGAATTACTAAAAACAGCGAAAGTAAACTAAAGGCAACAAATGTTGTTGCTTAGGAGATTGATGAAAATTTCATGGAAGAAAAAATCCAGACACAAGTCTTTAAATGCTTTGAAATGTACATCGATACATTGTGAAGTACAAAACTAGTCAGGCCAGACAAAAATGGCAGCACCTGAATCATTGTCTTGTAGCTTGTTAAAGGTGTCATTGTCCCAATCCTCATTGCCTGTGTTATCATTGGTTTCCTCATCTAAAGAGGTATTAAAGAGACAAAGTCACTAGGAAAGAATAACAGAAAATTTGCTTGCACTTCATAAAGGAGCAGCAATGAGCAAAACTCAATCCATCCGAGGGCATTGTACAAGGAACAATTATACCACTGCCTTAGACGAGCTTTTTTGAATCTGCACCCTTTAGCACAAAAGTGAAATATCGTAGAAATCCATTAGCTTGTCAGTACTGCCTTACAAGGTGTAAACCAAGTTAAAAATCATAATATAAGAAGAGCAAAGAACGGTATGACAGGTTTCAAATTAGGAAAAAGGTGCAAAAAATGCAGACGTGAAACAACAGAACAGTGATCATCCCAAGTAAAAAATTATTAAATTAACAAGACTGTGTGAAGCAAAAATAGTTACGAGGTAAGAGTGTAAAGAGCAAAAAATAAACCCTAGCTCCAAATCAGGATGCTGCTACTGACCACCAGCAAAGACTTGTAACCCTTCAAGACAACATGCGAAGCAACTAGTTTACTAAAGAGTACTGGTATGTTGCTTGTTGCACTCTCTTGGGATCAATACGGTGAGTGTATTTGTACTCATCCTATTTTCCAAGTTTCAAATGACACTTATTTTCCTATTCAAACACGTTGAGCAAGAACTAGGAAAACGAAAAAGAAAATAGAACCCCCTCCCCCAGACTATCAAACTATAAATATCCCGAAAGAGTCTATAACCTATAGAAAATTTTGCAAGCTTTTTTTTTTAGCACATTACATACTTTCCTACCTGCGATTTTAAACAAATAGAAGACCAAAATTTGTTTTCATTTGCCTTAAATTGCTTAATGGAAGGTTTCAGTGTCACATCGTGGTGAAGTCAGTCAGGCCCTTGTCAAAATAGTAAAATCAAAGAGCCCGACATCTTTCCTCCCTTAGGGTAAATTTTAATGACTTTTCTTTGACTTTACTTACTGAGATTTACTCTCTCTCTATACCGTCAGGTACATAAGGCTGAGAGCAGCCGATGCCACGCTAGTCTGTCCCTGGCCACGTTTTCCAATTCTGGCACACCCAGCCATGGCTGATTGCCTCATCTCTTAATCCCATATTGTGCCTCTATAGCCTCCAGTTGGTCTTCTTTTCTCTTAGCTAAACACTTTTTATGTCCATTTAAGAAAACATTTTTGCATGGATTTTTACCCAAAAAATTTTGACGAAAGGCCCAAAAAATGTAAATTTCCAGTTTCCATTGACACTCAAGCTTTGAAAGCCACCAAACTTTGGCAATCATTTTCTCAATAATTTTTACCTCTGACCCCATGCAACCCCAACCTCTTTCAATTGTAAATTAATATCTTGACTTCCATTCAAGGAAAGTTGGAAACATTTTTCACCAAAAGCAAGACAAACAAACAGGCTTTAAAATTATAACAAAAACTCCATATGTCCCATTCCATTGTGCAGTGACTCCATACAAACATACAACATTTACAACAAACCTCCATTCATATTTGCATTGTAGAATTCATCAATATCATCTTGCTCTTCATCAGTACCTTCCTCTTCTTCCTGTGAGTCAACATCATCTTCACCTTGTTCCAAAGCATTTTTACCACCTGCAAACGGGTACAATGGAGAAGTCAACATAAAACAACTTGTAGTTTAGTTATAGTAGAGGTTTTACGGCACTCGCAACTACATAAGGTCATATGAGCGCAAGGAGATTAGAAGTGTTACAAGAGAGTAACAGACATAAAAAAGAAGAAGGGGAGATAAGGTCGATAGATGTTTGATAGAAAAGAAGTAGCAAACCACATCAGAGTACCCGACAACCACCCACTAAAACAACTTTCTTACCTGACAGGTCAATAGCGGCCAATGTATAACATTTATTTTGGACAGCATCCACACAAGACTCACTTTTTTTTTAAAGCACACAAACGATGGAAGTAACAGGAAGATTAAGAAGGAACCATCCAGGACATATTTATATAAGATTTCTCCTTTAACAATATAATCCTAAACATTACATGAAATTAAAATGTAGTCAAAATAAAAGGGAGCAAATAAGAAAAGAAAAGGAAGTTGCAAAACACAATAAAGCAACAATCCGGCATCTAAATCTTAAACATTATATAATACACAACCAACACCAAAAACCAAACCAACTAAAGAGGTGCTAGGACATGCAACCCTAAACCATGAAATAAAGAAAACATCATAAGAAGTACAATCAAAGGAGAAAAAAGAAACAAAAAGGCATGGGGACATAATCAAACAATAGTACAAAGTTTCATAACCCTTGTTGAAAGTATATTCTGTGTTGGAGGTCTCTAGTTCCAGTAAACTGCACTAAAAACTGTATAGAAACTCACAATACTATTTCGATTTTGTAGATTATTATGTATCCAATATATATTTTTTCTACGACCTTACACAAAAAATGTATCTAAAGTGTATTTTAAAAGAACACCAACATGCTAATAATTGTAATGTCCATTGCGTACACGGAAGGCAATTTGGTGTCTCAAAATAGAGAGATTTCTAATAAAGAAATAAAAATAAGGGGAAAAAAGTTTTATTCACTTTTCCAACGTCAATGATCTTTCCATTGAGCTAATATTTAAACTTTTGCTCAATAAACCACATCTTGTATGGTTAACAGTATTCCCCTTTCAATAGGGCTGGAGAAGGAGGAAGCCTTTCTTCAAAGCAATGATTTTAAAAAAGGAAAACAATCTGTAGTAACTTAAAGGTAAATTTTAATTTTTTTTTTAAATAAAAAATCAGCATAATCTTATTTTCACTATGCCAAAATCAAAAGCACTGCATTATAATTTGCACTTCCTAAATACAATTCTTTTTTCTTTACCCCAGTTGCCTTCCATTTCTTCTTGCTCTTCATCCTCATCAAACACATCTTCAGTCTCATCTTCCTCATCCAAGACATTTTCAGTCTCCTCATCCTCGTCCAAGACATTTTCAGTCTCCTCATCCTCATCCAAGTCATGTTCAGTCTCATCTTCTTCATCCAAGCCCAAGACATTTTCAGTTTCATCTTCTTCCCAGGCATTTCCTGCCTCACCATTAGTTTCTTCATCACCATCATAGCTATTTTCAGTCTCATCCTCATCTGAAAATTTATCAAGAACAAAACAAAACAAAACAAAAGTTTCAGACATTTACTAGTGCCTCCATATGCTCCAAACTATAAAAACATGAAATAATAGGGACATCTATTAAGAAAGGGTTGAAAAACGAAAGTGCAGGAACTGCTAGATTGATAACAATATCTTATGAGGCATAAACAGCTGAATGTGGAGATATGATGAGAGTCATTTTCAAAATGTGAGCCTGAGCACAACTTGAACGACTCTTTCCACCAGCTATTGCAAACACAAACGGAGAATATAAAAAATATATAAAGAAATAAGGATTATTCAATGATCAAAAAAATATTATTCAACAGGATATCTGCCAAATTCCATAATTTTTAATAAATAAATGTTAAAGATTCTGGAAAATGCTGTGCTTTAGATACTTAGTAAAGTGGACGTCTTCTATGAAGCTCAGATGTGAATATCAAAACAACGGCCAATGGTACACTCAAAAAGTGATTCAAATAAATGAAAATGAAAAATGGTGCCATTAGCTTCTAGATAATATTCCAGATGTAATCTAATTATTCGTCCATCAGGTCAAGGGGGACAAAATGTGTGGCTATTGGCCTCTCCTTGAACTCTAATGTTCCATATGATGAGTGTAATTTCAACAAGATTAATGATTGCTGTACAAAAGAAATTCACCTGTGTTACTACATGTCAAATATTATAAAGAATGTGAAACTAGTGTTAAGAAAAGGATTAATTTCTTGTACAAGTTCTATCTCTGATCATTGTTTCAATTCAACATTGCACTAAGGTCAAAAAGGGGTGGGGAGGGGGAGATATATTGTCTGAAAACTCATATTGTAAAAAATGTTGTACGTCTATCTTTTGAGAATGAGTCATATCATATAAAAACTTACTTATTGACAGGTCTTCTTCCAAGCTCCATTTTATCATTATTCTTAATAACCAAAACTAACACTCATTCTGGAAAGTTCATGGTGTAATATGAACTATGATATACATTTCTCTTCTAGAATTTAAACAAAACATTTTTTCACAGCAGTGAAGCACCTTCATCCTCAAAATCAGCCTCATCTTCAGTCTCTTCATCTTCATCTTCATTCCCATCCTCATCTGCAGAAATAAACAAATAAAACAGAACTCCAGCCAACTACTACTAATACCACATAAATTCAAATGAACAGGAGTTCCATCTGCAGTACAATAGTCATACATTCTGGCATATACAGGGTGATCCAAAAAAAACTTTACAACTTTTATCTGAATATCTCCCGCAAAAATTGTTATAGAACGCTGTAATTTGGAGCAGACATAATTCATTCAAAAGGAATTTGTTTGATATAAAATCCACCAAGAAGAAAGATGTTTTGAAAACGGAAACGGTTAAATAAAAAAGCACCCAAAAATGCAAAGTTCACCAATGTTTAAAAATCTTGTTAAGGAAGTCGTGAAAAGATTAGCTGACCGTTTTCTTTATTTTCTCTTTGACATTAATATTCCATCCCTGTGACAACTAAACAATATTTAATTTCGTTTACAGAGTTTTAAAAACCTAATGATTTCATTTTGAAATTCCTAGAAACAGTGCTCCAAATTCCCTCCTTTGGACTCGACACATTTTTAACGCGTCGTTCGAAATGTTCCGTGGCGCCCTAACACAAGGACCTGTTAAACCATGAGTCTTTAAAGCCACATGCACTGTACATGTTCACTAAGAAGTGGCTTCTAGAGACAATAGAGTGGGGTGCCCAATAGACAGCATTTTTGGAGTTAACATATCCCGCAGGGTGAAAATGGGCTTTGCACTAAACAAAAAGTAATCGAGAAATGATCCCTCTTTACAAGACAATCGAGGAATCATGAACACATTGCCATGCTCTGATCCATGTCATCTCGGCCTAGCGCAGATGAACATGGTATAGTCGTAGGTTAAGATCTGCCATGAGAATGCAGACTGTTGATGTGTAGGAAAGTCCTAGCTGCAGATCGTCTATGGACAGACGTCTCATAGGACTTGGCTACTGAAATCTGCACTCTGGTGACGTTTAAAGGGCTGCGCATGGTGCGTGTTCGACCTGAAGTGGTCATTTTTTAAATAACTTTTTAATTCTGATTCGCTATAGATCCAAACTGACGGAACTTCTCTATACATGACGCCAAAGGTTTTGAGGGCACCTAAGCATTCTCTCCATGCCGCCGTGCGCAGAACTTACGAAATGTCAGGGATGGTGAGTTTGTGGAGAGATAAAGTTCAATACGAAAAGCTCTCCGCTCTTTACTGAACGTAGCCATGATCTCAGCAGGCAAACAAAATTTGGGAAAAATAATATCTGCAGACTTTCTGTTGACTTGTTAGATTGCTGTAGCTTGCAATAAGGCGCGATTGTTGCAACTTTTAGAGGTAGGCCTAATGCGAACTGGTGCGTCATGCTATGAAAATGGCGACAAGGTTGAAAATGGGTTGTTTTTTTAATGCGCTATTTAGAGCAAAACCATTCAATGGACTTATCTAAAATACATATCAGAAAAATTCCTTTTGGCTTCCAAACGTTATGTTCAAATCTGAAAAGCAAGACTTCAGTATGGGGAAGATATTTACAGAACAAGTTGTAAAGTTTTTTTTGGATCACCCTGTATATCGCCACAGAAAGTTCCCAACCAACAATACAGAAACACTACAGACAGGGTGGAGCTGGGATGTCGCGGTCTGCACAAAGGCTACATTCTGCCGGGGACAGCCAACATCACTGTAGCACTGACAAGAACATGAGGCAGAAAACAACTGAAGAGTCCACCAACCATCCACCAAAAAACTGGAAAAAGAGTGAACATTTTTATCCATCTTATTCCTTCTTGGAGCACCTACTGACCTACAATTTTAGGATACACAAAAACCTAAGCTATAGCCACATTATTTTTCCCCCCACAGTACATTCTTTAGTTCTGAACAGATGCCCTGCCTTTAAATGCTTTCGCTTGAACAAACTCTAGAGGCTCCAGCTGCACCTTACAACCAGTACATGAAAACAAAACCATAACAGCCAACCATCCATACCCTCTGTTCTATATCAAAGAAACCAAATTTCTTCAATCCCAGAATGAGCACTTTTTGCTTCAGCATGAGTCTTACCCTAAGAGACAAACATATCAGTGGAAAGGCAAAAGCTTTAAGCAGTAGTTAAGGGACAAAAGAACAAAAGGAAACCAAAACGAGACTACTGACAGACATAAATAGTCATAGCTTTGTTTTTCCCCACTACTAATTCCTAAAAATGTATCAGAAAGGACCCTGAAAGGGTTCTGCAAAAAAAGAAGAGGAGTAAGAGAGGAGGTTGAGGACACAAGGAGAGGGGCCCTACGACGAAGGAGACAGAAAGTAAAACAATGTTTAACATTTAACATTCTATATGCATGATGCTCCTGCATTGATGGTGAGAATAAATTTTAAGCATGGTGAAGCTTCAGCAATTGTGCAATAAAACTTGCTGCCTGGGATCACTGCAAATGGCATGTACTAAAACAACTGGGGGGGGGGGGTTAATGAAGTAATAAGACGCCAGCCACCAGAGTTTTGTGCAGAGCGTGGACGAGTAGCCATGTGATTAAGCTTGCTTGTCTGCATTATTGAGTGCACCAGGTCATAAAAAGCATCTAAAGGAAACAGCGGCAAAAAAGGTTGCTTTCCCACAGAAAAAAAACAAAGTTATAAAAACCAAGGTACATGTTACATCCAAATACGATGGAATAATAGGGATTTTTCAACAATTCTAACAGATTCTGAATACCAGCTATCTATATTAGCAGCATATTTATATCATTTATGCAGGATCCACCTGAGGTATGTCTAAAATTAGGAAAAAAATCTAAAATACCAAACCAAGCACACCACAGATTTGCTGACAAAGTAGAAAAGACAAGCTTTGTTTGTTTTGTTCAATGCTCTATAGCAATTTATGAAATCAAACAGTAAAAAAAAATATCTTTTTAAAAATCATCCTCTATTTCTTCGTTATAATCAAGACCTCCTATAGTGAAATGTGAGGTTGAGTTCTATCCAAAATAGATCGATATTTATTTCATTGGAAGCAAAGCAAATAAATCCGCTATCAGGTGATACCAATAACTCCACCTGCCCAAAAATTGATGAGCGCCTGATTCCAACGCATCACGACATCATAAAAGACTTTATCTTAGCGAGCTGACACTTTTAACCTCCAAAAATAAGAAATCAATTTTTTTTTTTTTTTATAATCACTCAAATTAGGTTCATTTTAAACAGTGAAAAAAAACCAACAACCAAGAACAGGCCAAACCTTCGTCTAATTTCTTGGCACGGTAATAGTTATCATCAGCTTCATCCTCATCTTGACCATCTTCATTTTCATCCATATCCTCTTCTGAAATCTCTGCACTGTCTTCATCTTTTTCTAAAGAGAGTTAAAGTTAAAGTCATCCGATTGCATCATTCAGTTAGTTGGTCAGCGATCAATGCAAATAAAAAATTTGTTTAAATCTGTAGATTCTAGAATATGCAATAAATGGGAATTCTAAAGGTCACAAAGGGCAGGAAAATGGAAGATTCAGGCAAATGGGACAACTACACCGTAAAGAAAAGCGACCATAATATAATGCAAACATAACACAAGCACCAAATCCAGCTGACAATACAACGGCCAAGCATGCTCAAGAGTATAAAACATTCTACGCAGTCAAAACGATCCCTGTAAAAAAAATTTTTAATGCTACATAATAATAGTTTAGCAAAGTGCCATTTCAGGCAATTTTACAAATGCCCACATCACAGATAAGACTGAAAATTAACAGTGTACAAGCGTAGTGAAGTATTTTCTCTTCTTAAAAAAGGGCAGGATTACATGATGATTATTTTCACATTTGGAAAAAAGTCTTTTGACTCTCTGCGATACTAATGAAGCAATCATTGTCAAATACTGAACATGTAGATTACAGGTGAATCACATTATCAATGTCTCCGTCTTTTACTTACATTGTGAAGCACCAGCTTTGGCTGAGAGCTCACTGATAAGACTAAATAGAATTTTTTAAATACCCATGGATCACTAAAAATGTCATTAACAATTCACATTTAAAATTTCATTAAACCCACAACAACACAAATGGCAACACTTAATAACATTAGAAAGTTAACAGAGAGCCTTCAGATATTCCAGAGACCAAAAGATCTATTGATGGTTTTCTGACCCTTATTTCCTTTCTAAGGAAGAGATGTTGAATCCATTACACTATTGCCTCGATTAGGACCCCTCAGATGAAAGAAAAGATTAACCCCCCACTACCACACCTGCTCTAGAATTATTAATTACATTAAACAGGTCCAGACAGTTGGGCCTGGCAGTGAAAGGGTTCAGAGCAACTATTGTTCTGTCACACAATAAGGTGACAAATATTAACAAAACCTTCTCTTCTTCCCTAGCCAAATGACAGAACACAATCTGATCCAACATTGATCCATCCACCAGCCTTCTTCAATGATAACACGCTTAAGGTCACACATTCTGTAAGACAAAAGGCAGTATTTTGAATGGGGAATTTCTAGCTTTGTCAGAAATTTACATATCAATGATCAATCTAGTAGTAAGGGATAAAAAATTAAAAGAAAAAAGTATTTTTTAAAAACCCACTCCCTGTGTAAATATTTACCCCCTTAAAGAAATTACTGAAAATGGTTAATTAACACAGAGAAGATTCAAGACTTACCTTGCTTCACATGGGAGCGATCCCAAATTGATTTCAATGAGGCCAATTCTTTATGATCATTTCTGTCTGCAGCATCGTCATAACCTGTCTTCCTTTCCTCATCTGAGTCATCATCATAATTAATGTCGTCATTATTCTGATACTTCTCAGCAGCAAGATAATCAGCATCGTCACCGTCATCGCCATATTTATCCTCCCTTTCCCCATCCATATCTGACCACAGAGGCGTTGTATTTTCTTTATTGAGCTCCTTCTCGCTGTTGGTCCCAAACGAATTTGGAAACACGGAATCATCTACTGTTTGTCTGCCCTCATCAAAAGACTGCTTATCAACAGCACTTTCACTTAAGTCTTCTTTGTTGTCGTTTTTTCTGTCCACACCAGGCTCCTGGTATGGCTGTTGGGAGAGCATAGGGGGGTTCTGGTACTGCCCGGGTACACTGGCTGCTCCCAGATTATGCTCGGTGTCTTGCTGTACATTGGAACCATACCAACCTGATTTTTTACTGCCAGGAAACAGATCCGTGTTTTGTTCATTTCGATTGGCAGAAAGCTGAAGATTTGTATAGCCAGGTTTTTTTTGCTCTGCAATTATACCACCAAGCAACTGAGGCGGGGTTACATCTTGTCTGCTCAGATCCAACTTTTGATCATCTGGATTCACAGGCTTATAAAAAAGTTGCTTGTTCTGGTCCCCATATGATGGGCTGCTAAAGGAACCCTTTATCACATCTCCTTGCTCTGGAAGCAGCGGTGGTAGCTGAAACGATGGTATTTCTCCACCCTGTTGTTGAGGTTTGGAAAATACTGACAGATCCTGTTGGTTTTGCTCATTGGGTAACTGAGGGATATCTTGGTTGAGTAACTGGCTGGGTACTCGGGGCAGATCTTGGTTGGGTGTCTGAGAGGGACCCTGGTTGACGGACGGTAACACTTGTTGGTCAGGTAACTGGGGGAGATTTTGATCGGGTGATTGTTGATTGGGCAACTGGGGGAGATTTTGATTGGGAAATTGGTCTGGCAGCTGGGGGAGGTTTTGGTAGGGTAATTGTTGGTCGGGCAACTGGGGGAGATTTTGGTTGCGTAATTGTTGATCGGGCAACAAGGGGAAATTTAGGTTGGGTAATTGTTGGTTCGGCAACTGGGGGAGATTTTGTTTGGATAATTGTTGGTTCGGAAACTGGGGGAGATTTTGTTTGGATAATTGTTGGTTCGGCAACTGGGGGAGATTTTGTTTGGGTAATTGTTGGTTCGGAAACTGGGGTTGGGGGGTATTAGGCAGTTGAGGTAATTCTTGATTGCCTGACTGCAGATTTTGTCTGTCCTGCACTTGTGGAAGCCTTTCGCCTGGCAACTGAGGAACATTTAGTTGCTGATCAGCTTCTGTCTGCTGGCTGTACGCACCTGGCTGGTTGGGAGCATTATTATTCTGAGATAAACTCTCAATTTGGACATCTGGAGTTTGAAGTCTTTGTGCCTCTTCAGTGCTATCCTCTTTTTCATCTTCTGCAACCCCAAGCTGCTTGTCCGAAACTTGGTCTTCAAAGTCATCCCGCTCTTTCTCCTCCGGCAAGATTGGGGGCTGCTGACCACCAGCCTCTCCTCCGCTCTCTAATCTCTCTCTACCAACATCTTCCGCATGATCTGGACGAATGTCTTCAGCCCCGGCCTCCGGTCGAATTGCCACATCGACGTTGTTAGTTCCTTCTCGTAGCATCTCCTCTTCGTTTTGGTTTGAGTCTCTAAAATCTAAGAGTGCAAAAGAAAAAGAAAAAAAGACATGCAAATGCACAAAATCCATGCCATGCAAGAAAAAAAAAGTTGCTCAAAATGATGGTTTAGTCCACAGAAACCAAGATGCCACAAACATGGTGAGCATTGATAGAACCCTATTAAACCAAGAAAATGACAAACATATCACAAGAAGAAATACAAGACTTTCAAATACCCATAGGACATTTTTTAAAGAGTACAATGAGGTTTAAACTTAAAGCTGCTTTAAAACTTTCCCCAAATTCTGGTTCTTCACTCCTTTCAATCATTGCATTATAAATATAATTATTATTATTATTAATTGATAAAACTCAGTAAAAAGATAAAAATGTCTACAAAATGACTTAGACACCATAAGCATTTTTAATTTTTAGACACTCTAATCTCTGAAAATTACAAACTGTAAAAATCAATAAAATAATTATAATAAATAGATTCCCATACTTTGTAAACATAATACAGAAAGCATGCAGCATTCTTACATAAAATGGTAACCAGACTATTCTATGTTAGCTGTACATTATTCAGACCTCGTCCAATCATTTTTATGCTTTTACGAGCATTAAAACAGATAAAAGGAAGTCATCCCAGTCTGAATACCCCCAACTATTAAAAGAGGAACTCATATTTTTTAGCAATTACTCTAACTGTTAACAATTGTAAAAAAAATGAAATACTTGTATGTTTTTATTCTGGTAAAGGGGATTCTTCCAAATTTGCTTGAAGACTCAACAGAAAAGAGCAGAGCTCTACCACTGTTCAATATGCCCACAGTCTAACTTTTGGCAAGGAACAAGAATGTATCATGAAAATTCAATACTTCAAAGGAATACAACAGGCCAGGAAAAGAAATTGATATCCAGAAATAATGCTTCTTCCCCATATCAGCCAGAAAATCTCCGGCCTCAGTAGCTATCAAAACATTTTACATGCATAATAAAATATTGTGACAACCAAACTTTTTTGTGTTTTTTTAAATATTAAATTCTATATTATACATATTATGGTAGAATTTTTTCTAAAAACCTAAGTGGTGACCACGGATGAAGTGAAGTAATGCAAAAACAAGCATTTTGCATCAAATTTCGTAATTCTGTGTGTACATGTCTTCTCATGAATGAACTATTTTCTTTTTAAATTAACAGTTTCAAGTCTAAAAACTAAGGTATGAATTTAAAATTATAAAAACCCACAAAGAAGGTCACAAGAATTTAATACACTAAATAATAATTAAGGGAAGCACACCCAAAATGCACATAAGAGAATACTGGGATTTTTGTTGTGACTAACGGATTTTGCTCTTTGAGGACACTTATTACAATGAGAACATGCATAATATTTCTTTAAGCTTGGCGAATATTGAATTTTAAATCTTTTTTTACAGATTAAGTAAATGCTCATTGATACTTAGGAAAACTGAGATCTTAAGTAAAAATTGTATAATACCAAAGTAAAAATTAAAAGTACATATGAATAGAGGCATATTCAATATAAATGGAGCCATAAAAGAGGGAAATAGAAGACAAAAGCTGGGGTTCTCAAGGTCAAAAGGTAGGCCTACTGTGTTTGCCTCTCATTCTCATTCAATACGCTCTGAGTTTCGAAAACTGTGAGCCACTGAAAAAATCATTAAAATGTTCTCCCTTCACCTCTTCCCCTGTAGACATGTTGTGTTATTTGCTTTCATCTCCATTTTCTTGAGCACAATCCCCTGCTTCAAAGCTTCTATCTCAGTCTCCTTTACACCTGACTCTATCTCAATGTCAAATGCTTCTCCTGCAAAATTCTCCAAGGTCCCAAGTGCAAGTTGCGCATGTTAATGATTCCTTGGTGGTAGTTATAAAATTGATAAAAGTAGGCTTCGGCTGTCACCCGGTCAAAATTTAAAACTAATTCTAACCCAAACTGAAAATACTCTAAGATAGTCAGTAAAAAAGGGTCTTCAGTTCAAAATCGGAATGTGCCTGCCTGAAGGCAGGTGACCTATCAAGTTGGAAAAATGGTCACCTACATAAATATAAGTTGCACTGTAGTTTAAAGAAACAGCAATCGACTACCCCTGAGATTTAGCGGGGGGGAATGCAAAGAATGAAAGAAGGAGAAGACACTACAGTGCTGCAAAAAATTTGTGGCACAACTTCTTGTCAAATATTTCCTAAACCATCGAACATAGACTGTCCAGCTTTAGCATTCAATGACTTGTCTTGTGAGTATCAATTTGTCTCAACAGATCAATATTTTTGTAAACACCTGTTGGTTGTATTTTAGAAAATTCCCGAATAAATACCCCCTAAAAATCCAAGTGGGTGGTTTTTACAGATTTTAAAAGGTTTACAACTTGGACAATATCGTTTTTAAAAGCAAGACCATCATGTTTTACTAATCCCAACATATAATATGTGAGGCAGCGTGGTAAAATCAGGCACTGGTCAAAACAACGAAATATGAGAACTCGGAAATTTTTTTCGAATTTTTATTTTTTTGCTAACCTCTTTTATGTCCATATAAAAACATATTTCCAAGTGAATTTTACTGAAATACATTGACTAAAGGCACAAAATATGTCGTTTTTCACTTTTCAAAGACTTTAGCTATTATTAGAGTTACCAACTTTAGCGGCCATTTTCTTGCTAATTTCACCACTGAAACCGCCTTCAATCGCAGTCATTTTGAGCTCTATCCAGGAAAAATGTATATTTACTTCGTTAGAAGCAAGGCAAATAAATCAGTTTTCAGATACACCAATAACTCCACATGCTCAAAAATCAACGGTTTCACCACATTGGAACACAGGGGAACTCGGTTTCAACGAAAACTCGGATTTCACTTAAAGGATTTGGATTCCCCGAATTTTTTATTCATAAAATCAATAGAAATTTACTCGGATTAAACAAACACAAAAATGAGAAAGGTCGGATTCAACAAAATCGCTTGCAGGGTGAACTGCTCTATCCGACCAATCAGGGACCTCCTTTCATACCAACACAGACTTTTATAATCATGCACCCATGTCTTATTGTCGGTCAGGGTTGGATGAGCGGCCAGAACACGTGTGACTGTGTGTCTGGGGGGATGGGAGGAGGGGGTACAAATGATCCGAGCAAGGAACGTCAGTAGAGAAATAAACGGGACAGTAATTTTTTTTATCCCGGCTACTGATCAATATTACAATGAAAGCTAATCTTGACATAAAATAGATCTACGTTGTGAATTGCGCGCTGGACTGGGAATGAAACGTTGCCGTGCTAGGCTCTACACAGCAACATAATTTGTTTGGTAAACAATACGTTATAGATGGCAGATGACACAGCAGATGTGTATTTGAACAAATCAGCCCTTTTGCACAATGTGTGCTGGGTAGAATTCAGTGTTCGTCATCAAAGAAACAAAAATGCCTCTCATTTGAAACCAAACTACTTTTCATTTCATCGAATACATTTGTGAGGCAGCGTGGTGGAATCAGGCTCTCGCCAAAATGATCAAAGTGAAGAAACTTGCCTTTTTTCACAAACTTGCCTTTTTTCACAGGTTTGTGAATTTTTATCAAATTTTTGTTTTTTGGCTCAACACCTTTCATGCCCATTAAAGAACTCATTTCGGTGTGGATTTTTCTTAAAAACATTGACTAAAGGCACAAAAAATGTAAATTTTCAATTACAGTTGTCTCCACCTAAGACAAGATCCCGGTGCTCGGGAGCAAGGAAATACGGGATCTTAGGCAAACGGGATCTTAACCGACGAACCCAGGGAAGAATCTATGGTGACCCATGTTAAGGCCCACAATCGGTAGAACGGTCTCCCTCCACTCTAAAATGAACTGATGTGACCGCTTGGTGGATTTATGGCATATGGCGAGCAAAGAGTGGTTAACCTTGATGACCTATCACAGTGTATAGTGGGATGAGACGTTGATTGATTGGGTAGATGTTGTACGGCACTATCGACACAATTTTGGTCATTTAAGCGGCATCAGGTTTCACCGCTACAAAATCAGACGTGTTTTTAATAAAGAGTCTTTCGGAGCTCGCAACCGCAAACGATCACA